ATCAAAACAGTAAAGAAAGCAATACACAACATTAGCATTATTCACGGAGAAACCCAACGCGAGAAAAACTCCGGGCACTTTGCCAGTCAAAGATCTACTATAAACTGTTGATAAAACTTACAGACTACCAGCAAAGTTGACGCACAAGCTTTCTGATCTCATGTCTGAAATTTGAAGCAACTCTCCTGGAATGTGCACACCAACACCAATCCTGGCTCTTCTTTGTATAGCAGCCTTCCTGGAATGAGCACACGAACTCCAATCCTGACTCTTTACACATTTTATCTCATATCGATCTTCCCCAAGAACTTCTCGTTCTTTAAATTCTTCATTGATCTTCGACGCAGTCAAGTTGACGAAACAATCTTACAGCAGACCTGAGCAAAGAATCCAATTCAGTGTTTGATTTGATGGCTTTGATGTTTTCAATGAGCGGAGCTCATATGAATTGAAGGATTGAACTTTTTTTCTTATACAGGATGAATTCTCTCTTGAATAGAATGTGTTCAATCACTTGTTCGCAGAAAACGCAACGCCTTTATTTATATGTTGGACGAATTAGGTTAAATGGGCCAAGAAAAAGTCTCAAAAATCGAAATTAGGTCTGGCCAAAAAACATAACTGCTCAAGCGAGGAGCATACTTCGCTCGAGCGAAGAGCATGTCGCTCGAGCGACATGTGGGCGAAGGTCGAGCGATGGTGTCTCTGTTTCATCCGCTCGAGCATCATTCTGACGAGTAGCTAGCGAAAAATCGACGTGAATCCTTCATGTTCCAAACATGAAATCCCGAACCCTAAGCTAACCTACCAACTATGAAACTTTACAATTCAGTCCCTAAACTTTTATAATTGTCCAAGTTGGTCCTTTTGTTCATAGAATCGTCAATACAATATATAAATCTAACACTTTTCATTGATTACAAACCAGCTGATGATAGCAAAGTGTTATTGGCAAATGACAACACATGTGAAGTGATTGGTGTTTGTTCTATCAAGATAAAAATGTAGGATGGATCTTCAAAAGTTCTAGGTGGAGTGAGGCATGTACCAGGACTGAAAAGAAATCTGATCTCACTTGGAGCACTTGACAAATCCGATTTTGTATGTATAAAGCTCAAGGTGGAGTGTTAAATGTAATGGAAAATTCTGTGGTGATCATGAAGGGAGTCCTACAACAAGGCATCTATATCCTACAAAGTAGTGAAGTTGAGGTTGGAACTTCACAAAATCAAGGTGGAACATAGTTGTCAGACTCGACCCGGACATAAACCCGAAAAATGCAGCGGGTCAATGGGTTAGTGATTCAACCGGTGACTCAATAATTCAACTGGTGGATCATTGCATATAAACCTACAAAAAAAATATAATGTATAAAAAAATTTTATGGGTAAAATTAAAATTTTTAATTTATTTTTCACTAATTATTTAGGTCTATAAAATAATGTAAAGGGTTGGACCAAAGTTTTTTTAAAAAATAATTTTATAAAAGTTATAAATGATTTATTAGATAGATATAAGTTATTGCACGCATATGCCACTAAAGTACTTAAGTTCAAGTGGTGATGAATTCATTATTTGTTCTTAGAGGTCTAAGGTTCAATCTCTTGGACCCAAAAAATTTGTAAGAGAATTTTAAAACTCAACCAAACCGATCAATCGGACTGGATAAATTGTCGGTTAACTTGGTCAAAAAGCCGATTAACTCAGTTTGACCGAGTCAAGTACATTTCTATAAAATTAATCTATCCGGCCCGGTCAAGGGTCCGGGCTGCCAATTTTTCGGCCAGACCGATCAGGCCGGTTTGGGTTTTATAACTATGATATGGAGATTGTAAGAATCTGATTCCTTAAAATTCAAGTTTCTTGATACCTCGGCCATTGAATAAAATCGGTTGCAAAAGAAGTTGTTCTGTTGCTGGTTTGATCAACTGATTTCGGTTGGAATCTTCAACTATATGGAGCCTTAGTTAGTCAGGTAGCTAATAACTAATTTTGATACATCTTTGTGTCTATAAATAGTTGCATTTGTTGTATGAATAAAGGAACTCGAGAAAAGGAGAAAGTGAGGTGAGATGAGATAGAGTAGTGAACTCTTGTAAATCTGTAGAAATTCTTTGTGATGATTTCAGATTGTAAATCATNAAGTTGTTCTGTTGCTGGTTTGATCAACTGATTTCGGTGGGAATTTTCAACTATATGCAGCCTTAGTTAGTTAGGTAGTTAATAACTAATTTTGATACATCTTTGTGTCTATAAATAGTTGCATTTGTTGTATGAATAAAGGAACTTGAGAAAAGGAGAAAGTGAGGTGAGATGAGATAGAATAGTGAACTCTTATAAATTTGTAGAAATTCTTTGTGATGATTTCAGATTGTAAATCATATAAAGTCTCGTGGATAAATCAAGGTTGAGGAAGACATTCTTCCTGTTCCAAAATATGTTCTTCGGTTCTTCCTTCTACTGGTTTATTGCTTCTGTTTCTCAAATATGTTCTGCTGGTTTTTCCCATATCTGTTTTCTTCTTCAAACCAATTTTGTTGGTGCAAGATGCTTCTATTAATTCTATATTAATTTCAGAGTATAAGGAAGCCATAACAATCCCAACAATATGAAATTATAATAACTGTATAGGAGCTGAATATTGCGAAATGTGCAAATAAATACGTAATTCTAAGAAAATTATATGTTGATATTATGTTGGTGTGACAAAATTTTTACCGATTCGTATGTTCATGTGGCATCTAAGCTGATACTTAAACCAATGAAGAGAGACGTGTTGGCTGTTTGAAACCTAATCATACTGTACCTCTCAATCGCGGATTGACAACTGCGGTAAGGTTGATGGGAGATAGTAGGACCCACTTGTGCAAATCTTTTAGGTATGTTTTGAGGTATTCCATACATATATTAGATAAGGATTTTTAAAGGGTCGTCTAGTGTATGTAAGAGAGGTGTGAGATAAAAAGAAAACATTGCGTTCTTCTTCTTAGTTATAGCGAACTACGAACTACGAACCACTAATCTGTGCTCGCTCATTCATGATTTATTTTTTTTCTGTTTATTATAGCTCTATAGAATAGGAATCAGAGCTTAATCGAGAGCAAGGGAGATAGAGAAAGTAGGTCCCATCTATTCAGGTTGTTGATCCCAACAAAACTTAGCAGCTTCTGGACCCGATGTAAAATTGCACGCACGGAATCCACCCATAAAATAATCCAGCGTGATGGATGGTTCGGGACATTTACCTGGTTCATCAACATGCGTAATCGACATCTTCTTTCTATTCCCGTCATCTCCAACTGTTAAATAGAAGGGAACACAAAGATCCAGGTTATAGTTATAAACTCTGTTCGACCTCTCATAGTCATGGACTTGCACATTTTTGCAACTTTGCCTCAATGCGAGAAGAAATAATTTATAATATATGGCACATTTAGATCTTCCATCGCTACCATCATACATTCGGCTTCTCTATAGTGCGTCGTGTAACTGCTGTACCAGAGTGGATGCCATGTAGCTACTAACCACGGAGTAACTTCTCTGTTAACACCAGCCAGGTCCTTCTGCAGCCATTTTTATTGTTCAGCTGCAACAGAGAAGATTCATGCCAGTCGTATTACGCCTATGTAAGATGTTTTGACATAACTTCCATACTCTGTGTATTTTATTGATCTTCATCATGGAGAGCACCATTATTTAATAGGTCGTTCTACTTTGTGCATCTTTTGCAAAACATAAATCGATTATAGGATAATTTAAATTTTGTATACATTTAGCCCCTGTTTGGGCGCCATTTATTTTCATTAAATTTCATTTTCCATGGTCAAAAAGTGTGGGCTAATGGGACCCACTGACACATTCTTATTAAATTTGTACTCGT